CTCGATTGCGTTTAAAATTTCGAAGGGATGAGATGATTTATTTGAGCGTCGTAAAACTTCAACAAATACCAATCAGAATAACGAAAAATCGTGCATTACAACGAGAAGTCGTGACAATTTTTCGGGAAAACGCGAGAGACTTCCAAGTAGACTGGCACGAGTGGTTAGCGCATTGAGGCCTGACCGGGAAAGTCCCGCATTGTTTTCGATACTCAATTGGAAATTGTTCGAGTCTGCGACGAAATCGGAACTTGATAGTGATTTGCGACAGGAAACAACAACATTTCATTAATCTATGGTATTCTCGAATACCCTTCACCATGGGTTGTGACCTTGAAGTCGTGGTGAGGCTTGTGTGTCTCAATAACCCTAAGAGCTGTACCGGCTGGGACTCTAGTCCCTGGCTGTTCCAACAGTGCCGGATTGGTCGAGGGGTAGAGGCCAGACAAAGAACAGCTCCTGGACCTCCAGGTTGGGGGTTAGGCGGTGGGCCAATCACCGCCCCCTTAAAACAGAACAGATTACAGAAACCTTAAACCTTCGAATGTGATACCTTGCTTAGATAGGCAAAGCATGACGCCCTTGGCACAAAGCCGAGAGGATTCACGGGAGGTGAACAAATCACTAATGACCCCAAGGACTCAGATTAGAATAGGGAATTGGAACGTAAGAACAATGTGAGAACAAACCGCCTCCTGGTTAGCTCAATTGGTTAGAGCGCCGGATTGTGTTGTGCGGGAGGTCGAGGGTTCGAGCCCGGCCGGACCAATACTCATGGTCTTAAAATAACTGAGGAGAAGTTGCTACCTCTCTTTAACATCAATGAAATGGATAGATATTCTAGTCTCCTCGGATAAGGACAAATAAATGGAGGTCCCGTCTCCTGCAGGGCTAGGGGTAGGAGACGTTAATTTCCCACGCACGAGATTACTGCGTGATGGATGTCTTCCCCTGGGGTGGGGAGAAAAGGTGAGGTCGTTACATGGACCAAAGCGGCTGTCAGAGGTGCCTGATAAAGCTGACGTCCGATCTCAACCTTAGTAGCAGTGTAGACCTTAGCAATTCAGCCTATGCTGCTATTAAGGTATCGAATCATTTACTTTCCCTTTCACTTTACTTTCTGTATACTGCGGCAAAATCCGCACAAGTTGCGATAGTGATGAATCAGATGGAGATCCAAATTATGGAAATAAGTGAGTGCCAATAGATAGGAGCAGGCAGAATGAAATTCAGTGCAGGTGAAACATTACTGTACTCAGGTCGAGATGATGATCAACACATGCAAGGAGTAGCGATAATGATGACACCAGAGGCAACAAAGCCTCTGATTAATTGGTCGCAATTAATGAGAGAATAACAATGGCAATATTTTCCTCTAAGTTTGTCAAGCTTACAATAATACACGTATACGCGCCAACCAACGATGCTGATGAGGGCATAAAAGAAGATTTCTACGTGAAACTGCAAGAAGTAGCTGAGCAGGTACACAAACATGATATGTTGATCATCACCGGATACGTGAATGCAAAGGTGGGAAACCTTGTCAACGGCCTTGGAAGAGTAATGGGGCAACATGGACTGGCCACAAACATGATACGTTAATCATCACCGGAGACATGAATGCAAAAGTGGGAAACCNTCCAAAAAATTAAACTAATCTCGAGATCCTTTGGAACGGCTCTAAACATAAATTAATCTCAAAATCCTTCGGAACGGTTTTCTAAAACACTCTGCTACTTAAGTTAGAACTATACGATGTCTATCAATTGCGGGAAATACTATTCGACAAAGAATGTCCCCAGGGTTCGTGTTGTGGCAAAGAAGCTGTATTTTTACCCATCCCTACATAAGTAAGCAGGTTTCAATCAAAAGCACAGCCATAAATTCGGTAAGCAATGTTCCTTCGTGGTTTAAAGCTGGAATTGATTCGTTCGGTAGTTCTTCATGTCTGCGAGCGCAGAATTGTCTGAGCAGCAATGCATCTGTTTCCTCGGTGATTTCTAAATCAAGCTTTCGAAATCACGCTCAGATTTTGTCCAAAATGTCTCCCTATCTACATTTATACTCACTTGTCGAACGTTTCTGGAAGTGTTCAACGTAACTCCTTTCGAAGACTGAAGCAAAAATTCCGCTCAGGTTTTACAACAGCCGGAAATAGAAAGCGAAAGCGAAGAGATGTGTGCTTTGATCACATGACTTTACGTGAAGATAGCAGAGATCAGACCCTTTAGTGTCCGGTTAGTATTTCTTGGCGCCTCAAACTTATTTGCGGTGAAGAAATGCTCTCATGACAGCGCTGATAATTAGGGCCTTCTTCTCGCAGGGTTATGTCAAGAGTGTACCTCGAGGCAATACGAAAGCTGATTTTAGAACGATCAGTCGGAGACAAAACTTCTACCGAAGATTGCGTGATGCGAGATCAAATCTGATTGATGTCTGCGCGATACCTCACGCGATGCTAAACCCGAACAAGGCATATCACACATTTACGTAACTTTCTTGCTCGTCTCACTTTGTTAAATTAGAAAATTAGCCAATCCAACACCAGGCCTTACTTGGTCTTGTATTGTGTCAGTAAAGGTGGAAAGGGTAAACTTTGCTGGACAGGATATGGTTTTCACTTAAATTCTGACGTCTAATTGCAGTCTAATTTGACAAACACTTGGTCAATTTGGTGAACGCTATGAGCTACGTATATCGTAAATTACATCTTATGAGCACTAAGCTTTTGCAACTTCCTAAGGAGTTTTAGGGTCTATAGACGGAGGGGCTTCTATGCGAGAAAGCTTAGAACTGGAATAGAAAAAGCCCATCAAGACAAGCTATATCACTGCTGATTAAAATACCCTTTGGATTCACTGGTTCTTAATTAAGCTTAAAAACGTCATGATCAATCGAATTCACTCCAGTATATTTGGAACAGAACTAAAACTAAGAACACGAGCGAAACCAGAACGTAACAAAACGGAATTTT